TGTAGGGAATATGCTAGTTACAACAGGAAGACACCTGATCCGTTACAGCTTTGGTATGTCCGAGGCTTTGCAGAAATTAAACCAGTACTAGACCAGTACATTCAGTCCTCACAACGCAGAATTTTTATGTTAACTGCTTAGCTAAATATTCATTAAGGCTTAATACTGTATGTACTTCATCTGTCAGTTACTTATAGATTACAATTTGGCTTCGACTTCCTCCTTTCTTGGATACGTATGAAACTACTTCAGGTAGAATACAAACTACAGGAAAGTGCATGTCGTCCCTGTTGCCGGGAAGGCTGTATGACATGGGACATCAGACCCAGGACTTGGAGCCGCAGATGTGCGGCTGTCGCTGTAAAATCAAAAGACAGGGAATGTCCTTTTCTATGTCTATCATTGTCACACTACCATGAAGTTCTAGGCCTCTGACTCTGAATGAATCATAATATACATACTGCTACTAATAATAAATATACACACACGCTGTAAGTGTTGTTCAGAAGTGAAGATGACAGTACCGATCATCCTGAGAATTCTAACTAACCTCCAAAGCTCGCATCAAAGTAAAGCTGATCGTACTACGTCCCCTTCAGGACACTTCGAAAGGGAAGCCGTACAGCACTATTTCTGTGTTTCCGTACAGTGACTACGTGATTCGAGCTCAGAGGGACGTGTCTTTACACCTCCATTCTAGATTTATAACAGGAAGAAAAGAGTAGGGGGCAAACAAGCATGCATGTCTGTTACAAAGGTAGAAATAAAACTGAGTAAGATGGAAAGACTGAAGCTTAAGAATAAATTTTGCTTAACAGTGCCCAGGAACCCATCTGTTCCACACCTGCAGGCTCTCTGGTTTCCACTGGATCTCTGCTTTTCTCTTCTCCATCTGAGTAATTCTGTGCAATGCTGTTAGAGACGCAAGCTCTTGAAGGCCCCATGTTTTCTTCCTCATCCTCACTGTCTGAATCATGGACAGTAATAGGTGCTGCTTTTACAACTGGCTGAATGCCACTTGGTCCTGCAAACAGTAGAACGCCATGCCAACAGTTCATGTAACAATAAGTCAAACATGGATTAAAGGGCTGAAGAACTTTTAGGACTGCTTGAAAAAATGACAAGAAATTAATTTCGTTCAATTTAGCCACCCATTCTGTGGCTCCCTCATTAAAATCCAAATACAAGAACAGCTTAAAAGTTCTTTGACAACAGTATGAGTAACTGCGCAACTGCGTATTATAAGCAGTCCCTGAAACCTCCACCACAAAATCAGAACCGCTGGTCAGAACATCTGCAATTACCCTTCTAAATAAATCCCACCAGTAGAAGTAGGAAGGAGAAGCATGAATTATCAAGCTTCAGTATAGATGTGCTTTGTTGGTTACCTCTCTTGGCCAATACCAGAAGGCATTAGCCAATTACAGTGACATATCTGCCTGTGAATAACACAAGAAATGGACATGAAGTTAAATAACCTTTTCAGGAGTTAATCTTGAGAAAGTGAACAGATCCAGCATGCATGTACGTTGCTTCATGTTGTTGGCATATTTAGTAGAAAATCAAGACTGCCTTATGTCACTAATGATGTCACTAATACAAATTAAATTAACACTGGAACAAGTTGTTCTGGCTTGAAAAAAAGGCAGAAAAGAATCCACATGGTGCAGTGAAAAACAGGCCATTAACACCAATATCGGAACATGACAAGCACATTCAGGCCTTCTGAGTCTTTTGTTATACTCAGCACAAACAAAAGGCTTTAAGATCAAGATATTTTACTCCATATGCAAAAGAAAACTGAGGACTGTAAAACAGACTTTAAAATAGTGTAAGTTTCTTGACAGCAGTAAGCTGTGCTAGCTTCATTATTCCAAAAACACCAGACAGCCCAGGTGAAGAAAACCACACAAAAACTAGATTTATACTGAAAAATTTAACCCTTCAAGAAGGGGATACCAAAAAGTAATTTCTTTCCAAAAAGCAAAGTTACCTGCTTGCTCTTCATCGACCTCCATAGGAATGACAGCCTGGCTGTGAGCCCGGACATCACTCCGGCCCTGCCCAGCAGCCACCCCTTCGTCCTGTGCCACCTCCTCCATCTCATTCAGTGCTGGAAAGATTAAGATAAGGTCAAGAAGAGGAAACAGAAGGAACAGAGCCCATCAGCGTAGAAAGAATTCAACCGACACCCACAGAGAGTCAGAGAATCATGAAGCAGCAGCTGCCTTGATGCCTTCACTGAGTCTCAAGGTTGCACAAAGTCTCTCACATTTTTTCTACTTCTCTTTAGCCAAGGCCCCAGCCTAACTTTTGGGCTTACTTCTCCCAAATCTACCACTCCTCCTCAAAAGTCTTGTTCTACTTCAGTGAGCAGTATAACCAGGATTTACATATTCGTTCCCTCCAGTGGCTTCTGCCTTTGCTAGGGAAGTTTAAAAATACACCCTCTGACACTGTGAGGTACTCCCAGCTCTGACCAGAGGAGCCTAGAAAGCAGTTCACGCTTCCACAGGCGAGTATCACACTGAAACTGTACATTGCCAACATCTGTACTGATGTAAGCCCTCAACTGTAATGTGCCTTAGCAGCCACGAGATACAATACAAAGATAGCTTTTATCACACAGGTATCAGAGATGTGCAGACAGCCCTCAGAAAAGGTTAAAGTCACATATCAGGAACTGAAAGAGCAACAAGCTTTCTGTGTGTATTCGTATCTTCTCCAGGACCCTACCTAAGCAGCAATGCAAACAAAATCCCTCCCTACAAAGGTTCACAAAGATCAGAGATTACCCTCAGCTGCAATCTGCTGCTCTTCGGCTTGCCCATCTTGCCGCAGCTCATTCTCCTCGTTCTGGTCATTCGGGTTCTGGTGATTGTTGTGGTGGATGTTTGGATTATTGTTATTCTGGTGGTTGTTGTTGTTGTCATTGTCATTGTTAGAGTTCTGATTGCTGACTAGGGCAGACGAGACACCAATTCCTGTGCCTGCACTTAGGCCCACACGGGCACAACCCTGAAAACAAATAGTAACCATTAGGATTTGAAAACACAGGCACGTTATCTCGACAACATATCCCAATGCCAGCAGAGGAAGCATTCTGTCCACAGCATCCAGGATAACAAAACAATATGCACGTGAAGAACAGGGAAACTGTCCCTCATACTTCCTTACGCTACGCACTGCAGATGTCCATCTTAAGTTTGGAAACCCAGAATCCTTACACTCCGTTAAACTCCTCATCAAAGGGAATGCCACAAAGCATATAGCCTTACTTTATTAAACTGTATTTCTTTCGCTATGAAATCTTATTACATCAACACAAACAGCAGATTACGTACTCCTCCCAGAACACAGTAGCCTCAAGGCAGAATTAATCATCAAAGAAAGCAGGTTTTTATGTAGGCAGTTTTCATTACGTTACAACAGCTGCTAAACAGATTTATGTCACAGTGTGGGAGAGGGGACAACACAAACAAAATTCCTAAGCTTTGAAAGCACTCCAGCAGGGGAACAGCCCCCCCATTTCACCAACCACCAATCATAAAAACCCCTTAACACTGTAAACAGATCCCTAAGTATGAAAAAGATCACATAAAAAGCAGCAGCAAAATGAAGGAGCAGCAGAGACCTCAACAGAAACACAGAATCAACGTGGGTCTTCTTTCCCGGTCACATATTCAGACAAGAATACATACCTTGCCACTGTTCCCATCTGCAGAAGCAGCATCATTCTCCCTAACATATCATGACAACAGCAACTGCAAACCAAAGTAATTTATTTACCAGCTATTTAATTAATTATAACTTTTAAAAGAATGCATAGCAGCTGGCGCTCAACGTATTTCGAGTGAGCTGGTGACAACAAAACTATTCCCTGAAAAACTAACCTTGGGAGGTTCACGGAACATCTGGTCCAGAGAAATAAATTCTAAGCTTGGCAACAACTCAATGAACTGACTAAAAGAATCTAGCTTTATCGCATGGCATCGCACCAGGGTGAGGTCAACCAGTCGGGTCCACCTTGAATGATCTGCGGAAGAGAAGAGATGCATTTCCTCAAGGATTCCTATCTCACTTGTTTTTCATTATACCCTTTTGTATCTCCATCCCGACTGTCACCAGCACCATTATCGTTCCAAACTAAGCATCATCTACCTGTACTTACTACGACATAGAACATGCAGTACTATGAGCAGAAAAAATTCTGTTTTAATATCACAGCTATTCATATAACATCTCTAAAATTTCAAAGGTGTGCAATACCTGTGATCCAATTATTTGGGTTATGTAGATGTGGGCAGTTGTAAATGACGAGATACTTGATGCAAGAAAAAACTTCATTTACAGCTTTCATACCAATATCTGTAATAATTCCTGGATTTTCAACCACATCAGCCAAGCCATACTTCACCAAGTCTCCATTTGTCATTTTACCTAAGAAAAAGATAGTAGCAAACACAGCAGTAAATTTCAGTAACTTGCCTTTTACCGCATGATTTTCTTACTCCCTATTTCAGTCCAATTCAGCAAAATACATCAGATCATGACTTCAGTTCAGTAAAGCTGAGACTTTCCCAATTTCAGTAAGAGTTTCAGGAAGTGAAGGAAAACTTATTTGGCTGTATAAGATCAGCAGCCTCAATAAGGGTACATGAATATTCTTTTTCAGTCACTCTCAGAAAATGACTGAAAACACATCCACTTATTTAATCCTTACATTTTTCAAATAATTTATGTATATAAAAAATGTCATACACTGTAGTAGAAACTCATCGACATATCCTAGATGAAGAGTTTCAAACTGTGGAAATTCCAGTTCAGCCATCTTCAGAGCAGAAAAAACACCGTCTTTGGTCAAGGAAGGCTGGATCCGCACTTCATGCAACCTGAATACAATTAAGGATTATTCCTATTAAAAGGCACACCAAAACACAACTGCCATAGAAACCACACAAGAAGATGCCCTCTGGTAATAAAATGAAAATATTCTTCCAACAATGGCAGGAATAAGAGGGTATCTGTTGTATCTTTATGGCAGTATTTGGCAGTTACGTAACAACACAGTTGTGAGACTAAGAGCACCACACTTTTCAGATACAGGCCTAAGAAAGCGGCTTACAACACAAAGTGATTCAGAAGCAGACATAACTCCAGTTTCTTTAACCACAGAATACTCCTGTTACGTAAAGTTTAATTGTTTATTCCTTAAATTTTTGAAGGTCGTTCTGCTTCTTGACATTCTTGGACTTCATTACTAAGATACATATTTTGAAAAAGGCGAAGGGGGAAAAGAAAGATGTAAAGGCCCATACCTTCGTGCAGCGGTTATGATGAGGTAGCCAAGATCCACTTCAAGTGCATTCTTGCAAGCTCCCAGAACTATAGTGTGCAAATTCCTAAAACCACCTGACAAATAAAATAAAAAACCCAACATCATTCTTTCGCTTTAGTCACAGATCACAATCTTATACATTTCCACCAGTGTTGTCTTGACAAGTGAATTAACACAACACATCTTTTGTAGCAAATCAATAAAACATGTATTCACACCCAACTCCCCTCCAATCCTGCTAGTTCTACTCACCAACAAATGCAACTGGAAGGTTAGCTTATCAGCCTAGAGTTAATTGTAGTCAAAAGATCAAAACAATATGCAATGCAGAGCCATATTTAGGACCATAACCATTGTTCCAAACATGATACTTTTACAATAATCAAGAAAGGATATGCTACAGACAAAAAAGTTAAGCTTCACATGCCTCCAGTATTTGCTAATATTTCTATTTATTTGTTTAAGTATGAGGGATAAGAAGTTTCATACCTGATCTCCAGCTATCTTCTACCACGTGCTGGATGAGTCCTCCAAGAAATGGAACTCGAACCAGTTCTAAATGCTCCAGATTTCGAGCAGACGCCAGGCCCGTCACCAGAGGAACATACTTCAAAGAATTCGTGGGTCCTACATAGAACAAACCAACACAGACAAACAAGGTTGCTCACTTACCAACAGTGAACATACCACCTCAAAGAATTTTAAAGTGTCCACATAGACCAATCTAGATCGGGAAGTCAACAGAACTACATAGCACCAAATAACGTACAGAGGAGGGACACATTTCTGCCTAATACTATGAATAAAACAATGACTGTTTTCAGAATACTGTATTCTAAGATTTCCATTTACAGCTGGTGCCTATGCACCTTTAACAGTATTTTACTTCCTACATGTTAAAACATCCCCTCCCTATAATGAATCCCTCTTACCGGCACAGTTCCTCATGACAAAAGTGCGTAAGCTGATACAAAGGAAATCTTTAAAAGGCTGTGGTTTGGTGAGTCTCACCCACTTCAAATAAAGGTGCCTCAGCATTGGGATACAAGGAATCTCAGGGACATTCACCCCTAATAATACACAAATGAAACAAACATTTTAAACAAGCTTTAAACTATAAACTCTAGGATAAATTTATTCGGATTAACATTCTGGCTTTAGAAATGAACTCTTTGCTATGCGGCATGTGAGAAAAGCTGTAAACATTCTAAACACAAGTTCTTCACCTCAGTTTGTCAACACAGGTTTTTGGAGTTTGCCCTTTGGACCTGTTCTCACACAAATAGCGACTACTATTTCACAAATGCCACATGCCAAATTCCCTCTCTTAAAGAATGACAATCTTCCAGAGTTTCAAAGCATTTAAATTCACCTGTGTTGAAGCCAACTACTTCACCACCAACACACTTACCTACTAAGTGCAAAGTCTGAATCTTAGCTCCTATAGGAATTTTCAGCTTGTTCTCAGGAGGAATTGGAAAAGCACCATTACGATTACGAAACTTCCCTAAAATGTGAACTTGTGGCATGTACGTCCAAATAGCTTCCACCAGCTCTAAATGAGAGGTCTCAACGCCCTGGAGAAAAGGAAGCAAAGCAAATGCTTTAACACTGTGCATGTGTTACTTCACTTTTCATTTGTAGTGACACTTGTCTTTTTAAAAGCAGAGGGATCAGGGTTTTAATTCATTTCTGGACTTAAAAGCACCTATGATTCCCACTGGTGCAACTAAAAATACTACTCGTTTGCAAATATGGTCACAAATAACTGGTACTCTGTACAGCCAGATCCGGATTCAAAGCCCAGGTCTGAACACACGAAGCCCTGTAAGCAATGAGTCCCTGCCACATCTCTTCTGCTCTGTTAACATGCATCACCTCAGCTGCTGAAGGAGCTTCTCTCTCCAGTCTAACCACTCACCAGCAGATTTGGACAGGCCTGCAAAGCCTCTAAAACTCCAGGAATGCTGAAAGCTTCATGGCCACGGACTCTGCGTCTTTCAAGATACCTGGGATGAAGACCATAAAGTTGTTCAATGTCTGGCATCTTCCTCAGCAGCGTTAGGAAACTGGAATCAGTGAAACCTAAGATGACAACAACAGACTTGGTATTCCTGTGACAGCAGACTCCTAGCTGTAAAGGGAAAGCCAAATACACTGTTCTCTCTGCATAGCAGTATAAATTCTACAGTGTCGAAAGATGTACTCCATGAAGCAATAGCTCATCTTCTACCTCCAGATTCTAGAAATCATGACCTACATACACTTCTGTCTTGAATTTTGCAGGCTTGCTATAGGTTTCCTTCAGTGGAGTCACGTGGCTACAGGGTTAACTACGCTTTCTCCCTTCTCAGATGAAGCACCTCTGCAGGCTGTCAGGCTTTGTGTCTTTGTCTTTCCCGGAATTCCATTTATCAGCTACGTGGCTCAAAACCGCCCAGCTGGATCAGTTATGTGCAGTTCACCACTATCCACCACAGCTCACAATTCTCAAAGACGACAGACAGTTTCTTAAAGCACAGGGTTATTTTATTCCAACATAAGGCAACACGTAAAATAGATTTTAAACTACTAAGTTACCTGTATTTGCATCTATCTTAGGTTAGGTCTAACCACCTAACTAATAACAGCCCTAATAAATCTGTAACTTTGCAGATCCTCCAACTTTCAGAATTCACTCATTTTAGCTCTCTCCCCCAACAAATCCCAGCAGTGCAATTTAAATCCAACAGAAATCCTAACACTCACAGGGTTGACCTAGGTTGCCAAATTTATCTATTGATTTGAAGATGGCTTGAGGGGTGACATAAAAATTTACTTATTCTTACATTGTTAAGTGTTGGCAGATGAGTTGCTCTCATTCCATTGTATTTTTTCCTGCCTGCATGCAAACAGCCTCTTCTTGGATTAACCTTTGGATTAACTCCCTTACAATAATCAGACAAACACAGATTGTATTTACAGATTGCTACAGAGAATCCCCGTTTCTGCTACAGTAATACCCAATATACATACGCACACACGTACATACGCACAGACAAATTTTCCAAACCACCTACTCAAGAAAGCCACCCAAATCTCACAAAAGTCAAAAGGAATGGAACACCTACCTCCTTTTACTGCTATTGAATATTTGCCCTGCATATGTCATTATAAGCACTAGGATAGTACAGTTTTGCTCAATACCTCTTTAACACCGTATCATGAGCGAGTGCATTACTCACCAGTGGGCATGTATTCCCACCAACGGCCTGCACACAGATCCACAACCTTTACTACTCGCAGGTAAAGTGTGACTGCTTCCTTCAGCTTCCTGGACAGGCATTCCATGCACATGATATCCTGCAAGGGAAGGTACCTTTGGGAGAGGAAAAAACACCCCTCTGATTTATCAAAGGTGGATCCTTTTCAGCTTTTTCCAAACTAAAGAACATCCCGAGCAGGAGTATACAAATTCCTATATTTCTAACACCTAATAACATTAATTCAAGCAGAATTTTCAAACCGTGCTCTGACAAAAGTGTGAAATTTTGCTAAGCAGAATGACTCACCAATTTTTGACACTGAATATAGGATATTTAAGATACAAATGTAATACTAAAATGGAAAGATGCTTTAGTTCTCTAATAAATACTGCTGACCAAACCATTTGCCACACTAGTTTCTACATGTTCTAATTAAAGGTACTTTTATTTTCTAGTACATACTAGAATGCTCAATTTGCAAACATTTTGGAGAGCTACTGTTGTTAAAGAACTTGTCAGCAACACATTCTGTTCTGAATATAATAGGCATGAGTGAACATCCTGGAGAAGGACTCTGCGGTAGGAAAGATCACATACTCGTCCCAGTTCCCTTCTGTATGCTGTGAAGCAGATACAACAGTTTCAAAACATGCGCCCCAACCTCGTAATACCCGCGATGCACTTCTGCACCGAAATCAGTATTTAAACACTTGTTACCACACGGGTGAACAATTAAATAACATTTATTTCTTCTTCCTTCTACCATTCATGACATTCACATAAATTAATTTTCATACTACCCAAATGAATTCTAGAACTGAAAAAAAAAAATAAATTTCTGACCCCCTTTTATCCAGGTTTTACCCACCAGTTCACCCACGGCACATCTACTCTTTCTGAAGACCATGTGACACAAGCATCACAGCAGGTAAGATTTGGGGGTAAAAACAGAAAACACTACCTTAGTAAACAAGAAATTGACTTCTGACAAGCTACTCACCTGAAGATGTGGCAAAGCACTTCATGAGAGAGCTGGTTCATGTAATCTTTTGGCTCATCAGCTTTGGTAGACTCAGAGCCTTCCCTGTTCACTGAGCACGGTTTCACATTTTTCCGCCGGGGACCCATATTTGCAACGATTTCTGATGAAAGGAAATATTCACAATGTCATGCAAATTCAGTGAAACTGAAAGAGAAAAGGGACAGAGTAGAGGAGGACACATCAGCTAAGCTTTGTTTACCAAAAAAATCCAGCAAAATCTGCCAGTAAAGACAAGCTCCAGTACAGCGGAATTAACTAAGAAATAGAAAAACTCTTCCACAAGTTAGAGTTTGCCTAGGACGTGAAGTCTCAGACAGAACACGAGGATTATTAGAGAAACTAAAAAGCCCCTCTGAGCTAAGGGAAAGTGACAAAGAGGAAAATAACCACAAGTCTAACCAGAGATCAATTCTTTTGCACTAGTTAAATGTCTCAGAGATACCATCCACGTAACAGTTGATCAAGACAAATCACAGGAAAAGTTGTGTGGAGACCACAGAGGTCACCAAGCAAACACCAACGTCACATGTTGGAGGGAAACAGAAAGCCCAAAGTCTCTGTCTGGCAGAAAAAGAAATACTTTTCCTTTTGGAAAAAAAGGGCTCCTACTGAACATTCCCCAGAAACACTCCTTTAAAGGTCCTCAGAGCAGCTTTTCTTAAGGGTCAGAACACCACATAAAATATTCAGGTTGCTTAGTTAAAGATCAAAGTCCCAGAAAAACGAAAAGACCTTGCCTCAGCAGCAATGTGCAGGATATCCTCTCCTTTTTCCCTTTATCAAATTAACGTGTTCATGTCTACACTGTTCCTGCAGCACACACACTGGCACAGAGGGACTGAAATAACAATAATACACTTTTCATTTAAAAACATAAGTAACAAGTAACTAAAATAAATCTGAACTTAATGTTAACGTTAGAATAACCGAGTTAACTCCTCACGCAGATGAGCGGCACGAGCAATGTCTCCAGTACTGCGATTTAGCTGAGGAATGCTTTCTGCTAAGTCGGGTAAAGCATCATTGACTCAGTGAACCTGTTTAACAGGTTGAAGACCAGAATGCAGTGGATGTGGAGAAACAACTTTAAAAAAAGACAGGTTTTGGAAAACTTATCAGAGATGAGCCTGTTACGGCATTCACTGTAAGGTAAATATACCACAGTGTTTGCTTCACCTTATGTGGATGGGGCAACTGAGAAGAAAAATGAAGTTTCTCATGGAAATGAAAAAGAAAAACTTTACCTTCTCCAACACAAATGACTTATATGCTGGTACAAAATTTGAAAACTCGATAGCTTCACTGTGATCCAATTACTGAAAGACATGCGCTCTCACACATTTCTGTGTGCCTTTTAAACTAACAACTGTACGCGTCGTAATTAGTTTTACTTAAAACGGTGATATTAAACTGAGTCAGCACCTTCGGCCAGCGCCTGGCAGGAACCGTACGTGTGTCCTCCCCGCGGGACGGGCCGGG